GTCGAACAAAATACACCTGAGGTTGATTTATAATAACCTGAAGTGTAAAATGACACACCTTAGGTTGTTGAATAAATACTTCCACAAGTGTAAAAAAATATACTTCAGGCTGAAACATATATACCTCTGGAGGTATATTTAAGGTATATTTGAGGTTGATTTTGAGGTATTCATTTGCACCCTTTTCAACCTTTACGACGTATTTAAACAACAACCTCCTTTATACCTTTAAAATATACCTCGTTTATACCTCATTTATACCTCGATTTTTTCATAAGGGCTACCTTTAGTTCTACTGGGACTGAGAACTGTTTTTCGAGAAGACCTACAATCTTCCACGGCAGAAATGGTCTATGGAGAAAATCTTCATCTTCCAGGTCAATTTTTTTCCGGCGAAGAATTGGATGTGACTGAACCTGATTTTATCAAGAAATAAAAGAAACACGTTCAGCAGTTAAAACCAAATCAAACAGCTTACCATTCTTCTCCATCTACATTCGTTTTCCGAGACCTAGATACATGCTCTCATGTCTTTTTACGTGTTGATGCTATGAGACCTTCATTAGCAACGCCTTATACAGGTCCTTATAAAGTAATTTCTAATAAGCAAATTGTAAAAGAAACTCCTCCAGATCAGAACATCCCAATTCGGACTCGCTCTGGAAGACGAGTTCACTTCCCTGCCAAATATGCACAGTTTTCTACAAAAAATTTTGTCTAAATTTTTTTTTCAGGAACGGGAATGGTGTGGCGGCACTAACTTTGAACTTTTATGATCTGGCAACTAAACAAAAAGATTCAGTTTAGTTTTCTGTAACAAAAAGATCGAGTTTAGCTTTTGTGTTCTACTCGAGATAACGCCAGCGATCTTTGTCTATAGTTGAGTTATAATATTTTCACAAATATTATTTACTTGTTAAGTATTATATTAAAGTTGTTAAGTTTTTACTGTTCTTATTTCATTTACTTAAAGCATTAGTTTCAATTACATAGACTTATATATCTGCTAAACTAAAAGCATTAAAATAAGAAAAAGTATACATAAACTTCATAATTTTATATAATTTAATTTTGTAAAAAAAGTTCTTTGACAAAAATTTTTATCAAAAATTTTTTAAGTTTTAATGAAAATCATTATTTAGAAACTAAAAAACGTAAAATAAAGAAAGCTTACGATGCAAAGCAAAAAAGAAAAAACCAATTCTAAAAATTCCTTACATTAAAATAAACAACTTTCATGTTTTTTCTTTTTTGATTCATAATCGGACGCGGAAAACCATTCTATAGAAAACTATCATCAAATAAGAAAAAATTACTACTTAAAAGTAAATTTTCTTATTTTATAAAAATTAACACTTACCTGCTTTATAAATCAGAAGAATTCCAAAATGATTTGTTCTTCGATTTTTGTTACCATTTTTTAGTGCTACGAAAATGCGACTTTGGGATTTGCCAAAAATAGAACAAGATGCAATTTTTTTTTCTCTGGAGCGAAATATTTTGCCCATTGTCCACCGAAATCCGATAAACTACTTTGATTTTAAATGAAGTGTTTTATTTTATGATTTATCGCAAAAATTTTGGCGTAGATTGGTGGCACTTAAAAACCCCCAAATCTGTAGTTGCGGTGGCGTTATTACGTAAGTACCAAATTTTTATTCCATACTTTTTTGAATCATATTACTTCAAACATTAGAATATGCAAGAAGTATACATTAGATACCAAGAAGTATACATTGTTATACCATTTAATTTTTCAAAACAATTATTTTAACAACAATTTTTATCAAAGAATTATGAACTAAAAAACGATAAATAAAGAATTCTTAGGATAAAAAAACGATTTTAAAAATTCCTCATATTGAAATAAAAAACTTCCATATTGTTTCTCTTTTTATTCTTATAGTTCTTAATCAGACGTAAAAAAGCATTCTGTAGAGAACTATCATCAAATGAGAAAAAAAA